GCCCTGGTCCTCACCCTCCCATCCCCCCCCTCTCGCTCATCCCGTTCGTCCCCACCGCCTTCTTCTGACACGGAAAAGCAACACGAGGGCCGCAGGTGCTGTGCGCGAACTCGCAGCTGACCTACTTGCGCAGGAGCCATGCTAAAGCAAAACGAACTTTCCCAATGCAGGGCCTGCAAAACGACAAAAAAAGGAAAACCGGTACATCTTGCCATTTTCTACCTGAGGATCCAGTCACATTTTCGAACATCTGGAGAGCTGCGGAACGAACGCTTGGTACTCTCCACGTGCGCAAAAGACAAAAAGATGGCAACGTATTTCTCCGTCTCATTTGCACATTTGGAGAGTAGTGCAGCGAGGCCCTCAGGCCAAAACGAAAACAACGGGCGGGAAAACGAAAACCCGCAAAACGATAGAAAAAAGAAAGAAAAGGAAAGAAACGAACAAAAGGAAATTGGCAAAACGACATAAAAAAAAACGAAACGAAGCAAACGAACAAAAGGGAACCTGTGTATCTCCCCATGTTCCAAAGGTATATTCAGTCTCATACACACGGATCCCGAAATTTCTATCGGGCAGGTGGGGGCAAGCCCGCTCGCGGGGTGAAAAACGCGCGCAGTGTTCGTTGGGCCCGACTGGCAGTCCCGCCACGTTTCCCAAGAGTGTGCAGCAGCCTGTCGCGGAAGCGTTACGCGAGGACCGCTGTTCGCTTAAAGAGTGTTATGGATTTGGAAATGTCAAAACTATGGCTGATGTACCTTTACAATGGCATATTATCCATTAACATTTGGTGATGCGTAATGCTGTAAGAGGCCCATAACGTAGCGTTGTAAGTGAGAGACCATGGCGTGATTCTTGAGCACATAATTGTCGTACAGGTTATTTGAAGGGAGACCTACCGTCTTCCCCCCGAACACAATGCATCCTCATTTCGGCTGCACCGGACCGGAAACATAGATTGTATACATTCCTTATCAGGGTGAGCTGCATTCGGGGGCAGACGGTAGCCCACACAAAACAGCTGAAACTGTTAGACTATCCGTCAAAGCTGTTAGAAGGGCATGTTTAGATGACAGAGCAACCTGTGACACCTAGCACCTTTCCCCAAACAGAACACACGGTCATTAACGCTGTCTCTGGGGCAGCTTTAGTCAAGAAACAGCGACGATTAACATTTAGTCAAGATACAGCGACGATGACCACGCGTTCAATTCGAGGGAAGACAGCACCAAGAATAGCCAGACGTTTGCGGTGGCCATCCCCAGCAAATACAGGTGAAGGTTTTTCTAGAGCGAGTGCCAGAGAGAGAGAGAGAGGGAGAAACAAACCTGGGAGAAGGAGAAACCAAAAGCATGTCTTCAGCCACTTGCAAAGGAGATTGTCGCGTCGCAAGTCCATATTCCACCGGTCCATTCTGAGGAGTTGCCCATTAAGCCTGTGCTCCTACTACACCTCTCTCGCCCTTCCTCCTTCAGTGTTTCTAGGATGTATCGTCTGCACCAATGCCGATGCACTTAATTCATCTCATGCTTGTGGGGAAGGGATGTGATCTCCAGACTACGGCAAAGGGACACAAGTTGTAAGTGTGTTATGCCTCCTGAAGTCTGTCGAACAGCAAATAGTCAGCTCGACACTGAATCTTGACTGGAATGTGAAACTATACAACTCTTTCACAACCTCCTCCGTCTTCGCAGCAGGAAAGCCGGCAACTTGTGGTGAGAATGGTGACCTCTGCCCTCTTCCCCCGAGCAAAACGGATGGTCATTCTCGCTGTATTTGCAGCAATTATTATCTAAACGTAGCCATCACATACCGACCAAGCATTCTATTCAAGAGAAGACAGGAAGTAGCTCGATCATAACGCTTCACTCAACGATAGGCATGCTCGGTTCCAATACCATCTTCACAATAGAACGTCCGATGAAGACCGGAGTGTTAAGAATGTAAATGGTATCTGCGTTGCGATGATTTGCTTTGCAGTTGATCGTACATTTTTTATTTTTATTTTTTTTTGGAAACCACTCGCTCCATTCTATTCGTGGGGAGCTTCACGTGTTGGGAACCGGGCCCAACGTTCCATATAAAATTATATAAGATAAAGGAAGGTCGGGTCTCCCTGCAGTACAATTGTGCTTTTTCCTTTTCTTTTTTTTCCCTTGTTTTCAACGTGTTCCTATGGCACCCTTTTATTAAAACCTAAACCGTGCTCAGGACAGCCTGCTCCCAGTAGCTTGGATTCTTCGTTTCAGGCCGTTGATCTTCCTAGGGTCAGAAATCGAAAATTCGGGTAACTGGGACTTGGGCCCGGATGTCCCAGGGACTTTGTTTAGCTTTCCGCAAGTCGCTTCTGCACTTTAGCTTGACGGATAGCTAGCCTTTTTGGAGAACAAGCGCCCCGGTGATTCCAAACTGTTGACCAGGTGCATTCAAACTGGCCCAAGATTTTGAATGCATCGGAACCTCTACCACGAACAGACATGTTGAAAGTTGTGTAGTTGACCAAGACCACGACGATAAAATTTGGGCGGGCGCTTTGGCTGTCGCTCAACTACTTGCCAGATGTGGAAAATGAAATGCATCTTCCTTTAGAAATGGAAAAATACACGTCCATACTTTTTGTGCAAGTCGTGAGCAGTGGAGCGAGTCCTCTGTTTCACTCGTCAATAATACTCTTCTGATCTGGGTCATACACCAACGAATCTTCAAAGGAGGGTAACACCAGCCCTTAATGTACCCAACTGCAATTACGTCCAGAAACAAGTGAAAAAGTCGTAGTGTGATATATACCCTCAATAGTACTGATGGCGCTCAACAGCCAATGAGTTGGCCTCTCTGGTCTCAGACCCAGGCAGGAGGATGATAAACCAAAATGCCCTGAAAGCCGAGCACGACTGTACGCGGAAAGAAATGCGATCTTGCAGTTTCTTCTTCCTTTTTTCTTCCTAAGGACGACCGCATTGAGATGTCATCTTCGACCTGACCAGCCCCAGGTAATTCTGAATTATCTGAATCTGTTAATCTGATTGCATCTGGATTCGAACTTGGGTCTGATTCATATTTCAACAGTTCATCGAGTGTACCATCTTAGCTAGGCCGGTTGGTGATCTTGCAATTTCGCTCATAAGTAACTTCGTCAAAAGAAAAGAGCTCAGACCCAGACAGTTGGATGATAGACCAATGCCCAGGAGGGCCATACTCACACGAGGACTTTCCTGTATGTATCTGTCCGCTTTTACGGCCAGGTAAGGTTGCGCCTGACCACAAGTCAATCGAGAGAGAAGCCGAAAAAATCCTTGTGTGCGTATGCCCATAGTCGACAAAGACAGTCTGTACGGGGCTAGAAATGCCATCTTGCAATTTCGCTCGTACCCAACTCCGTCGAAAGGAGAAAAGAAATGATTGCACATAGAAACGTGGCAAAACAAAAAGGCATGCTGCTCTTTACTTACACAGCTTGTGCAAAGGATCAGGAGTGTAGGGAGCCACCGTCTTCCCCCGAATAGAACGTACGGTCACTCTAGCTGTATTCGGGCTAGCTTCACAGTCTAGATGCAGCGAGAATGACCGTGCGGTTCTATTCGGAGGAAGACGGTAATCATTCTTCTGAGAGCAGGAGTGCAGGGAGCTACCGTCTTCCCCCGAATAAAACGTACGGTCACTTTAGCTGTATTTGGGGCAGCTTCACAGTCTAGATGCAGCGAGAATGGCCGTGCGGTTCTATTCGGAGGAAGACGGTAATCATTCTTCTGAGACAATCTGAAAGAGGTCTGCACGGCCTCCACATCGACAACGTGACACCACTGACACGTTGGCTCTAAAGTAGAATACAACTGTCCAAACGTGGATCGAGAGGAGGTATTGGCGGTGGAAGGTGAAAGATGGGGAGAAGGGTTATTAATACGTTCATTGGCTGTACCTGACCTGAAATATGGAAAGAAGACTTCCTCTTACGAAGTGTAATACAAACACTACCGCCTTCGCCCGAACACAACGCACCCTCGTTTTGCCTGTACCTGACCTGAAACATGGCTTACATACATTCAATATCCGGATGCCTTACGTTCGTGGGATGACGGTAGGTTTATTATTAGCAATTTCTCCGCTCAGGCGAGTGGCGTCAACCTTCTGCAGGGCCCCTTGCAATCGTCGTCGTACCCGTTTCTATCTTTGAGGCCCTTCCCATCTTTGGGACCACTCCCAATTATGGGCCCATCTTAGGGGCTCATTCCCATCTTCTTGGCATCCATTCCTATCTTGCTATCCGTTTCCACGTCGACGGCTATCTTCAAGTATATGATGCCTTGTTGGTTCTTTGCCTTCTCTCAATAAAATACACTAATAGTCTAATACNTGCTATCCGTTTCCACGTCGACGGCTA